AAGTGGCAGCATCGATGGACTCAAGTGTGGCAACAATAGTGAGGTTGGCCCAGGATCAGGCAGTGTTTCGTTCTGCTGTGCATAAGGTTGCTATGAGTCGGTACAATGGCCCTAACAGCAACAACATTAATTTCATATTTTTAAAGTGCTTCCATATTTTCCATTATCTTCTCCTTATATCTCTATAAATAAAGATATTCACTATGGAAACTTTACATGTTAGCAAAAAAAAGAAAACTTATATCACTGGCAAACCATCACTGACAAAACTACTAATTAAACACAATGAAGTTTTCCCATGCATATCCTTCCAGTCTTTTTTTATTTTCATATAAACATAATTTTATGGTTTTGTTTTTTTTTAATTTAAAACGTATTCATTTTCTATCAAGTTTTTTTTTCCTCACTTAGCATCATTTGCATGTAATTTCCATATCTTTAATATTCTTTATTAAAGAATTATGGTCTAAAAATGACTATTATGGTCACAAAATAGTACACCATATGGCCGCCTTCCTTTTATATGTATGGACTATTGCTGAATATTTGCTCTTGTTCTCTTCCTTTATTTTTCACTTCTAGAATATTGTTTTAAATCTTTTAAATAGGAATCCTCACAGGAAAAGACAGATGTAGAAGATGTATTTTTCTTTTCTCTCTAGAGGCTTTCAACAACTTTGATGAGTCCAAACTTCTGGAAGGGTTAAGCAGTAGAAAGTCTGGCTAGCAGAATTAAACTATGATCTCCACAGCATGAGGCAGGCCAGAGCAGTCCTGCACCTATCCCACAGGACTGCCGGTACTATTACACTCTACTCACCTGCAGCGCCTCTTCCGTTCCCCACAGCCACCAGGACACGGACCGACTTCTTTCTCCCCTCTTTTGCTGTCATATTGAACACATTTCTTACCTAAAGGACAAAATGTCTCATAAATATACTTTAATAAAATTAGAGAGTGAGGAATAGGAAGAACCTGACTTACCCACTCATAAACACACACACACACTCATCCTCATACTCCACAAGCACAAATACTGAAGATTCTATAGAGGAAACCTCTCTAGGGCTTGTTTCTTTAGGAGTAAAACAGAAATAAGACTTTCTAGCCCAATTTCACATAGTTGTTAAAAAGTTCAACTGAGATCATTTTTAAAAGGATTTGAAACTACACAACTTAATATACCCTAGCTACACGGGCTAGTCAATGTCTGGTTCTGTTATACATAAGGCCACTCACAGAGTCATAACTGACTCAACAGGACCTAACAACATAAAACCCAACAAACCCAATGAATGTACCATAAAGTACACGACTACTACCTGTACTGGGACCAGAGTCCGCCCCATGTATTTCTGCTCTACCCTTGCTCCTGCCTAACCTTTTCCCATTACTATTTTGACTTGAAAGTATTATCAATTTTTATAAAATATCTGGTTTGTTGGCTGCTCTTTTCAAATCAGCACTCATATTTAAAAGTCTGTCTTAGTTATCTTATTGTTATTAAGTGTCATTGAGTCAGTTCCTACTCATAGTGACGCTGTATAGGGTTTCCAAGGAACAGCTGGTGGGGTTGAACCACAGGTCTTGTGGTTAGCAGTACCGTGCTTATCCGACAACATCATACCAGCACTCCTTAGCAGTACAGTGCTTATCCGACAACATCACACCAGCACTCCTTTAGTCTTCTAGTGCTACTGTAACAAAAATAGCCAAGTAGGTGGCTTTAACAGACCTCAACTTGCTCAGTTTTATTGTTGTTGTTAGGTACCATCAAATTGGTTCTGACTCATAGTGACCCTGAGCACAACAGAACAAACACTGCCCAGTCCTGTGCCATCCTCACAATTATTGTTATGTGTGAGCCCATTGTTGCTGCCATTGTGTCAATTCTCTCATCGGGGTCTGCCTCTTTTTCACTGATGCTCCACTTTGCCAGGCGGATGCTCCACTTTTTCTTTCTCCAAGGGCAGGTCTCTCCAAGCAACATGTCCAAAGTATAAAAGACAAAGGCTCACCACTTTCACTTCTAAGGAGCATTCTGGTTGTACTTTCAAACAGACTGTTGGTTCTTCCGGCAGTCCAGAGTACAGTTAACATTCTTCTCTAACACCATACTTCAAATGCATTCATTCTTCTATGATTTTCCATATTCATTTTCCAACTTTCACATGCATATGACATCTTTGCTCTTGAACACTTTACAGGTCTTGTGCAGCAGATTTGCCTAGTACAATAAGTCTTCTGATTTCTTGACTGCTGCTTCCATGAACACTGATTGTGGAGCCAAGAAAAACGAAATCTTTGAAAATTTTCATCTTTTCTCCATTTACCAGATGTTATTTATTGGTCCAGTGGTGAGGATTTTTTTTTTCTTTCTTTCTTCATGCTGTCTTTTTTTTTTTTTTAAATTAAATAAATGTTTTACTGTGTATTGTGTGATAGTTTACATGGGGGAACATTAGTTTTACATTCATTCTATCATACATCATTTCATTGCCATAGTTACCATCCCGTCTAGGCATCATCACCCAAGCAAAGGGTATACCCTGCAAGCCCGCCCCCACCCCCCACGGTCCTCAGCACACAGTCCCTTTCCCTCTCTGGATCTCAAGTCCCTAGCCACTCCATCTCTTCACGTCATCCTGTCTCCATCTCAGGCCTCACTGCTTCTCTGGGTGGGGTCCCGCTCTCCGCTCTTCTCCAGTGAAGGTCCCAGGGCCCTCCGCTCCTAGACTGAAAGATTAATCACTCCCTTCCTTGCTATAAAATATCTGCCTTTACATTTCCAGTCCTCACAATCAGTCCCGATAACAATTATTCACCCTTGCATCACAAGAGACCCATCTGCATTTCTTTTCATCAGCCTTTCCTAGACAGGTTGGATACTATTCACTGGAGACTCTACCATCCTTCCCGCCCAGTCACTTTAGGTTCCCACTTGAAAGCTTGTAAGCCAGTCACTTCTTACCTTTGTATCCCTCCCCCCATTTTGGGTAGCCAATGTTCAAGTTGCCCATCCCTATCTACTCTTTGTGCGGAAGGGGTGGGAATAATTCTTGGAGCAGGTATTTGTTTCCTCCTTTGAGCTACTGCATTTATAGGTGCAGGTCAAGATTATCAAGTTGTATCAGATGACACTTTTTTTGTTGTTTTTCCCCTCTTCTTTCCTCTTCAGGTTGAGCTCTGTTCATCCAGTCATTGAAGCCAGGTCAAGTGGGTATCATCTGCAAGTGTGGGTGTTCTTGCGTCTGTCCGCCCTCTTCTTATCAGCTGGTAGGTTTGCTCTCCACTCTAGTCCTCTGTGGCTGTGTCACTGACTCTGAGCCCATGAGTCCCCGGGTCTTGCCTCTCTGTTGGCCGACCAGGTCTCCACCCGGGTGGTGAGGACTTTTTTTGTTTTCTTTACTTTGAAGTGCAATCCATACTGAAGGCTGTAATCTTTGATCTTCATCAGTAAGTATTCCAAGTCCTCTTCACTTCTAGCAAGCAAGATTGTGTTATATGCTTATCAGTTTGTTAATGAGTCTTCCTCCAATTCTGATGCCATGTTCTTCTTCATATAATCCAACTTCTCAGATTATTTGCTCAGCATACAGATAGAACAAGTATGATGAAATGACACAATCCTGGGACACACCTTTATTGATTTTCTCAGGAGACCAAGAGTCTGAATTCAGAGAACTGGCTCTAGGTAAAGATTTTCTCTCTTTCAGTTCTGGCAGTAAGTAGGCCTTTTTCTCTTTGAGCTACCACTCTTGGCATGTCTCTTCCCACATCTCTGCTTGTTTCACTTGCTTGCTTGGTCTTTTATATCTCAAAAGAGACTGACTCAAGACTCACCCTGCACTTAAGGACAACACACTAAGCTAGTCACATAATGTAACAAAGAAAGTCCATGCCCAAATAGGATTAAAACCACAAGGACAAAGATTAGTATTCAAACACATTTTTGGAAGACACAATTCAAATCATAACAAAGGACTAGTGAACTCCTTATAAGGCAACTGGTGCTCTGATTCATGGATGTCCTCCCCAATACAATGGGGTCAAAGGAAAAGGGAACTGTCCTATAGAGTTCATTCCTATAACCTTACAGGAGTTCGCCCACATATAGAGGAATTCTTCACAGTGATTACCTTCCAAAAAGTACAAACTGAGATGCAGAAGCCATAAAATAATTGCAAATGTATTTAAAATTCTGTTAATGCAATTGATACTGAAGTAGTAGTATACATATTCTCAGAGAACAACTCACAAACTCAACAAAGGACTGTTTTATATGGCCCCTGAGTAGTGTAAATGGTTAAACACTTAACTATCAATCGAAATGTTGGTGGTTCAAACCCAACCAGAGGCACCTCAAAATAGAAGGTGTAGCGATCTACTTCAAAAAGGGCACAGCCTCGAAAATCCATGGAACACAGTTCTGCTCTATACACATGGGTTGCCATGAATTGGGATCCAGTCTACGTCAATGGTTTGCCTTTGGTTTTAGCTCTACTATTGACTACTTCAGAGATTGTCCTAAAAGGCATGACCGATGACTGATATGTACTGATACAGGTTTCAGTGTGAGGCCCTGCATGCAGATCAACAGCTGGACACTCACAGCAACTCCAACCAGCCTGCTCCTATCCCGTGGCTCCTCCCAATCACTGTTCCCTTCATTGAGTACTAAGTGCAGCTGGGTTGCAACTCAATAATAGATTTCTAGTGTTCCTTTTGCTTTAGAAAAGATGAAATTTAAATGTAATCTCAAATTCTATTAACACTACCACCCACAGTTGCCTTGTCTTGAGTCCTCAATTTAATAGCTCCCACGACCCCAAACAGGGTGGCAATCAGAGCCAATGTCAAGAAATTAAAGCTTCCCTTTGTCCTTACCCAAACCAGCTCTATCTCAGAAAAAGTCATGAAGCAAAAGCATTTCCTTATAACTCCACTAACACCAACCTTACAACCACACCCTGCCACCAAGTACATCCAAAGGCTTACCCAGGTATTAAAGTCAGTATACCTCACCTCATACCATGACTGAACCTGGAGGACATTATGCTGAGTGAAATTAGTCAATCACAAAAGGACAAATGTTATATGACACCACTATTGTTAAAATTCAAGAAAAGATTTTCATGCTAAAAGAAACATTCTTTGATGATTACCAGGGGTGGGAGGGAAGGGAAAGTAATTCACTAGTTAGAGTGTAGACACAGGGTGACAGGAAGGGCAATATATAAGAACAGAGAGGCTGATGGAAGCATGATGAAGGTATGCAAGGTTTAAAGGGGATAGAGGTAACTAGTGCTATATATACACAACCCTGGAACAACAGCACTTTGCGGATAGACACGTGGACAAATAAATACACAGGCCGAACTGGTATGGGGGGAAGAATGAGAGTTTATGTACAAATATAGAAAAGTTTGACAGAGGATATTTGTATCTGGGTATTTACCTTCTCTGCAAACACACCTATGAATGTGGTGGACCATACAAGAAGCAAAAGGATGAAACCTTCCTAGATATTATCAAACATCTTAAAGCAATGAGTTGCTGGGCCTAGGGCCTCAGGACCATAGTCTCAGGGGACACCGTGGTCAATTGGCATAACATAGTCCACAAAGACAATGTTCTACATCCTACTTTGGTGAGGAGCACCTGGAATCTTAAAAGCTCATGAGCGGCCATCTAAGGTGCAACTATTTGGCTCTCCATGTGCGGAAGAAGGAAGAGTGATGAAAATTGAAGATGCCTGGAATCAGCTAGTCCCATGGACCAATGGAGCAGGTGAGCATCAGTCATCGTGACTCTGAGACCACAAGAACCAGATGGGTGCATGGCTGCCATTACCAACGACTCTGAAAGGGATCACATTACATGGTCCTGCATAGAATGGGAGAAAACATGGGACAAAACTCAAAATTGTAATAAAAAGACCGGGCTTACTGATCAGAAAGAGACTAGAGGAACCCCAGACCATGGCCCTCAACCACCTTTCAGGTCTGGAATGGAAACTCTAGTGAAGTCTGCCCACCATGGAATGGTGAATCATTCAAAATCAGAAGGGCAACATTTATCTAAGGACAAAGCTGAGAGAGATGGGAAGGTGGGTAGCCTGGAAATAGGAAGATCAGGGAGGAAGTGGGATCACTGTTGTTACAGGGAGGGGATTGCAATCATTGAGATGAAACAAAGTTTGTAGTTTGTTGAATGTAAAACCGAATTTGCAATAAAATGTTAAACAAACAAACAAACAAAAAAGTCAGTATACCTACCTCTAGTATCCTGGTATCAAAATCGTCATACATTTCTGTAGGGCAAAGAGAAATCAATATGTGGATAAAAAGTGTCCGCACAATTAACTTATGAAAGCATTTTCAACACAGGCACCATCACAGACTTTTAAGCAAGAAAGATCCTCAGCTCTCTGGCTGCCACTCCCTAGGCCACGCCCTGGTTCCCCAGCAGTATCAGAGACTGTTCCCCCACCAAATTAATCCACTCAGCACTTGCGTCGCTGGCTGCATCCTGCCGCCCCTCCAGCTCTCCCACTCAATGACTCCCAAGACACCAGTTCTGGAACTCCTCGGCACCTCCAGACCCTCTGCCATCGCTATCCTCTACACCACCCGCCCCTCCAGTGTTCATGTCCTCTCCCACTCAGTACAGCAGTTCCACCAGATCTGGCAAATGCCCTCATTTCCCTTACCCTTCTGTCTCAGCACCACACTATCCAGGCCTGCTGCAGAGAAGTCAAAGCATGGTACTACTAAAAATTCATGGTCTCCAACTCAACCAAGTCCTCTCTGTGGTCTGCTGGCATTTTATGTTTATTTAGGGTCCTGGCAGTTAGTGGTTATGCACTGGACTGCTAAATTAAGGTCAGCTGTTCAAATCTGTTAGCTGCTCCACAGGAGAAAGATGAAGTTTTCTACTCTGGTAAAGATTTACAGCCTTGGAAACCCTGTACAGGGTCGCTGAGTCAGAACCGACTCCAAAGCACATGACCACCACCACCAGGGCTTTCGACTAACAAAGATTTAGCAGCTAAATAAACGCTCTCTCCATTTTGTTTGCTTGCTTCTTACCTTTTTGTTACAGAAAATGTCAGTTATATACAGTATAAAACAGAGAACAATGGAACGAATGCCTATGTTCCCGTTATCCAGCTTCAACAACCATCAACTACAGTCAGTCTTCTACCCTCCAAACTCTAGCCAACTCTCCCGCACTGGAAAATCCATAAGTCAGTCTCAGGAAGTTCAACGTTTCATCAAGAAATACCGATGGCCATGTTCATCACCACCCCAACCCCACTTTCTACAGATGACACCATCTCCTCAAAGACTAACTACAACAGTCAGAGGGAGATACCAACCTTTTCACTACCTGCCTAGCTTTTCACTACCGACAATAGAAGCTCACTTGAATCTGAACCCTGCCCTTTCTTCTTCTGTTACAAGTCATCTACGAGGGGGTTTCAAAACGTTCATGGAAAAAAATCCATTGTCTTTAAATTCATTTTTCCAAGAACTTTTTGAGTCCCCTCATATTTACCTAGACTAGATGTAGACCTTCCTTCAGGATCTTCATTTGTGGATTCTGTTTCCTCTCTTGTACACTACCATACCCTCCTAACGGAAATATTCTGCTCAGTTCAATGCCTGCTTATCTGGATCTCTCCCTCTCAGTCGCTCACCTCCATAAGCCACACTCATGTCTACTCCACATTACCCAATGATGGAAAGGAGTTTTTCAGATGATGTTTTTCCTTCTTTATAAACTGGCATTGGGGAAGGCTCTCTTTTCTAAATTGGCCTAAACAGTATTATTAATTTTTGTTTCATGTGTTCATTTGGGAGTTTTAATGACAAGTATCTAGTTTGCTGTTTCAAAACCGCACTCTAGGCTATGTTGTTCCATAGGTACCTCTATGGCTGATTGTGTTTGTGAAACACAATACCCTGTAGGTGGCTCACAGAGACACATGACACACACAACCGTACTAAAGGCACTAAGGCACCACATCATACAGACACCAGGAACCCATCCTACTTGTAGAAGGCTTCTTGGTTATAGGTCACTAGTGTTTCATAAAATACAGTGAGATAATAATGTGATTTATTATTTTAAAGACATTCATATCCTTTTTGGAATAAAGCAATGTAAGCAGACAAATAAATAAAGTCATTCCAAGGAATTTTGAAATGTACACTCTTTCATAAAAGCAAGGAAAACCAAGACTCTCCTACCTCCATTGGGACCGGGGTCAGGGGTGCCAAGACTGACGCCTCCCCAAGTGTTTCCGCTCCATCCTCGTTCCCGTTTAACCTTAATTTTCTTTCTCCGTTCCCACTCTTCTCTCTGTTGGATTATGTCGGCCTCCACTTTCTCCTGCTCTTCCTTACTTCTTTGAGCAATAGTCTGCACTGCTCCGTTTCTCATAAGAGGGAGATTCAGACCAGGCCAGAGGAAACCAGAACGTCCTAAATGAAGGTTAAAAACATAAACAGATATTTTTAAACATTTTTTTCTCTTGATGTGTTAAAATATCAAGTAATGTATGTACCAGGGGACTTCAAAAAGTTCATGGGTAAATTCCATTTATTTTTCGATTCTATCTTCCCCCAGACTATTAGAAGCCTATTGGTATACATAAAAGCACACAGCTAGCAGATCATAAACTGACCTGGCAGGCCACTTGGCACCATCTATTATGACTTTACATGTACATACCTCAAGAGCTATGAATTCACGTCATGTCGTTATCTAGAGCAACACTCTCATACAGACACAAGGCATGCATGTACTTGGACAAGGCCATCCACTGAAGCACCATTTGCAAAGGCAGGAAAATAGGAACAACTGAAACGTCCAGCAACAGTGAAGTGGCTAAGTGAACTCTGGCATACCCATCTTATGAAATATTCCATGCTAAATATTTAAAAATAAAAAAATAAAAGGAAGCAGTTCTATCAGTACTGAAGTTTAACAAGTTCCAAGAACTATTACTGAATACGTAAACTGCAAAACCATATTTGCCATATGATCTACTGTAATTGTTTTTAAAAAGAATGAAACACATGCTTCTTCCAGGGTGTTTATGTATACTAAAGCACTAAAAAAAGGTCTGGATGAAATATACCAAAATAGGATCTGCAGTTTCTTCCATGGAAACAGCTGGTACTGGGGGAAGGGGGGGGTGGGCAGCATCAAGGGGACTTTGAGTTTCTCTGTAATCTTTAAAGGAATACACACAATATTCTTTGAGTTTCTCTGTAAATCCTTAAAGGTATATACACAATATTCTTACAATGTTTTATACACAGGGTGATTCAAGTACATTATTCTATTGTGATTCTTTTAAAATCACAAAAATAAACAATCATGGGTTCCAGAGGCAGGCATCTAAGCACCGCAGGACAATTCCAGTCCACTACTTGTTTATGTAAATCAAGTTTTACTGGAGCACATAAAGATGGTCATTTGATTATGTATTATCAATGGCTGATTTTGTACTATAATAGCAGATAAGCACTGGACTGCAAGCCACACAGTCCACAGTTCGAGCCCCCTCCAGCTACTCCTCAGGAGAAAGATGAGGCTGTCTGCTCCACAGAAGATTTAAGGCCTCAGAAACCCTATACAGGTTCACTATGAATAGGAACCTACTCCAAGCGACTTAACAACAACATTTGATTCACAGAGCTGAAAACATTTATGATTTGACCCTTTGCAGAAAGCCTGTCAAACCTTCATGTACACCATGTTCTATAATTGAACGATAAGCTCTGAGGGAAGGAAGTGTCACAGCAGATCACACACTAGGGACATTAAATGCTTGATGAATGAATATGGGATTTTTCCCCTCCACTATCCTAGGCCAGTAAGGATCTGCTGGACTCGACCTAGTGCCCTTTGTGAGAAATGCTTTGACATGTATAAAATATCTAAAAACCCTAGGTGGGGACGGGGTGTTAAAAAACATTTTAGTTGTTTTTATAAATAAATTTACCTTCACCAATGATCTGGCCCCTGTTCAAATCCTTTCTCCTCTTTTTCTTAGCTCTTTTGCCTCTTCCTTTTCTTGCTCCAGCACCAGTCTCTGCTAACGCACCTTTCCATAGCTCATCTGCTGTCACTGTAAGCAAAGGAGATTTTTTTTTATAATATTCCTTTAAAAAAAGTTTTTAAGCACTCAACCTCAAGGTCAGTTTGAACCACAAAGTCGGTTTGAACCACAATGATGTATGGTCTCCAGTTGAAAACAAAGAAGAGATCATTTTCACCAACATCACTGAGTCATCAAAAGCAAAATTAAACAATTTCTTCTATACATCACATGGCTACCATTGAAAAGCCCAAAAGGAGATAATTCTGTTACTTTCACAAAGTATGGCTTTATCATGCAAAAGTCAATCAACATTTAATTCTCAGTACCATTTCATCATTGATATTGATCTCTTTCTGGCCCTCTTGCCTCCATGATAGTCACTGAGACAGTCAATAGCTTTCCCTCATAAATACAGGTGTTTTAGTCCAAACAAGAACCAACATTTCAATCTGCACCAGTAAATCTTAAGAATCTGGACTATTTTTTCCTATTATTCTGTAAATGCCGTAATGATTATAATCTCTCTGTAGATTCTTCAAATAAGGTACTAAAATTCTCCTTCAAATCTAGTTCAGGTCTAACCAATAAGCAGAAAAGAATAAATATTTAAGGGTAGGATAGTTAATACTCGTGTGTATTTCTTTAATTATGTACAAACGCTGATGCCACTGATTTGTTTCCATTTGTGAATTTCCAGAATCCTAAACTCTTTTTCTGTCATGTATTTCAATCAATACTCTCCCCTCTGTACTAGATGAAAGTGTGCTGGTTGTGCTTGGCTGCTAACTAAAAGGTTGGCAGCAGAAAAGACGCAGCAATCTGCATTCATCAAGACTTAAACTTTGGAAACCCCATGGGGCAGTTCCATTCTGTCCTCTCCAGTTACTCTAAGTTGGAATTGACTTGATAGCAAGCTATGGGTTTGGTTTTGGGAGTTTGTATTAGTGTAATATTTTCAGTCCTTACTTAACCATCATTGAATTTTATTGGTGCAACTATACTGTTTATTAGATTTAAATGATGTCTTCTCTAAGACTTCTAATCTTACACAGTGCCATCAGTTTATTTTATAACTAGTTCTGTACCATTATCAATTTCTTAACAAAGACTCATCACTCACTCACATAAATACCATACTAGTCAAAAATCTAAGATACATAAATCTACATACCTGGGCACTAAACATACAAAGAGGCTTCAAAAAGCTTGTGAAAAAAATTCCAATTATACAAGGCTGTAATTTTTATGGGAGCAGAAAGCCTCATCTTTTTCTCACAGAACAGCTGGTAGTTCCGAACTGCTGACCTTGAGGTTAGCAGTCCAATTTGTAACCACTTCGCTATCAGAGTTCCTTACATATATGTATATATATGCATATATGTATATATGTAAGTGTGTATGTACATATAGATACAAAGATAAATGTTGTTGTTAAGTACCGTCGAGTCAATTCTGACTCACAGCAACTTACAAGGGTGTCTGAGGAGCAGCTGGTAGGTTTTAACTGTCTACCTTTTGGTTAGCAATCTAGTGCTTATCCACATGCACTATATGGAGTCCAGGTGTGGTGCTATAGGATAAACACAAGGTTGGTTTGAACCACAAGGTCGGCAGTTCCAACTCACCTCAGAAGCCCTATACAGGGTCGCTATGACTCAGACCCAACTCGATGGTACTTACCAACAACAACACAACATATATATATATATATATATATGTAGAGTCCTGGTATGGAACTCTATACTAAGCACAAGACTGCTAACCTCAATGGAAATGCTATACATGTCACTAAGAGTGACCTGATGGCAATTAACAACAGTGTATGCATGTTTATACACATACACACACGGGTCTATGTGTATGTGTATATATATATATATATATATATATATATATATATATATATATATATATATATATATATACACACACACACACACACACACACACATCAGAAAGCACAACCAAACGCACTGCTATCGAGCCAATTCCCGAATTCCCGCTCTGAGTGACCCTTCGTAAACTTCCCAAGTCTGTAAATCTTGACAGGAACAGAACGCCTCCTCCTGCTCCTATGGAGCAGCCAGTGGAGTCAGCCTGCTATGGCTTGCAGACCAACAGGTAGCCCACTACACCACCATGGCTCCTGAATACTTATAGGAAAAGCACTGGACAGCAAAACATAAGGTCAGTGGTTCAAGTTCACCAGCCACTCCATGGGAGAAAGATGAAGCCTTCTCTTCTCCCCAAAGGTTTATGCCTCAGAACCCCATTTAGGGTCCCTATGAGTCAGACCTGTTTCAATGGCACTTGACAACAATATACATATACACACATAACACACACACAAGGGATACATGAAAAAAATGGAATGAAAAGATAATGGTATTTTGCCATGAACTTTTTGAAGGCACCTCATGTGTACATAAAGATGTATGTGTGTCATGAAATATCAATCCTTAAAGAAAAAAAAATTATATATATATCAGTATCAATTCTATCCCCTCAGTATACAGACAGGGTAGATAAGGACAGGCAACTTAAATGTTGTTGTTGTCAGGTGCCATCGAGTCGGAACCGACTCATAGCGACCCCATGCACAGCAGAACTAAACAATGTCCAATCCTGGGCCAACCGCACTACCGCCGCCACACTTGACGCCATCAATGATGTCACCTGGCTGATCCATCTCGTTGGGGGTCTTC